TGCAAATTTCACTAACTTTTTTTAATCTCTTCCGTAAACAAGTTTCACAATATGTTTTTTTCTTTTGATTTCAAAAGGAAATCTTATTTGTTGTTAATCATTTTTTCTGGTTTAATTTCTACCTATATAAAACTCAATAGCACATTTTCTACTTTATTAAAAACTTTGTTTAGTTAGAGGGTGTTTGAAAGTGTGGTGAGTAATGTAAAAGTAGAAGTCATAACTTAGAAGTAGAAAACATGTATTTTTAGCTTTGCTAGAAAGTACTTCTAGACCTTAATTTTAACTTTTAAAGCCATAATTTATAAACTAAAGTAGATTAGCAAACATTTACGGAGTATAAAGAAAATATGACACGGGATTTTTATTACTCGTATCAGAGAAAAAGTACTCTAATTTGTAGTTATGATGAAGCTAAGAAAATACGGAGTATATATCTGGCTGTACGTAGTAAACAACCTAACTTATTAACTTCAACTCTTCAAGTACTCTCATTTCAACCATTTCCAGGAGGTGTTTGGAGTTGTGTTTAGAAACAAATTTTAAATATCTGCTTCATCAAAATGTAATTTAGAATGTTTAATTTTCTACTTATATTTTTATTTTTTCACGAATTTAGTGGGACTCCAAATACCATCTACTTACTATCAATAAAAATAAAAATTACATATTAAAGAACTATGTCCAAAATTTTACAAAACAAGATGTGACAAAAATATTTTATTTTATCTAATAATTAATGAAAACATATAATTAAACAAAAAACATCAAGTGGAGAGAGAAAATAAAAAGAGAATTTACCTAAATAGGATAAAACATAATGACTTTTTTCAATATAAGACCATACTCCCTCTGTCCTAAAACTTTCTTCCCATTGCGCAAAACGAAGAAAAATCCCAAGTTTTTTCAATCTATTTTACTTAAATATTGGTATAGAAATAAAAAAATAAAACATACATATTTAAAAACTACATCAAAAGTTCAACAAAACAGGTGGTGACAAGAATATTTTATTTTATCATATAGGCCATGAAAAAACACAAATAAATATAAATTCTCGTAAAGTTGAAATAGTGCTCTGGGAAGAAAGTTTTAAGACGGAGGGAGTATATTTTTATTTTCCAATGTAGGACCATTGGTCATTATACATTAGTCATCATTCAAATAAATGTCCACCATCACTAAACATTGGGCCTGTTTGAAAATAGCGTTAGCTTTTTGAAAAGCTTATATACGGGCAGCGTTTAGCGTTAGAGTTTTCAAAATAATCTTCATCTTAAAATTTTATCCAAAACGCTAACGCAAATCTCTAACGTTATTCCCAAATAAGGCTATTATTTAGAAAGTAAAAAAGTTTAAGTCTTGTATTGATTGAGAAATAACTTATGTTTTAGTTCTATTTAGTGCAAATTTTACAAAATAAAATTGTAATTAAAATGGGAACGGAAAAAGTAATTTTTGTTTTTGGTACAAATAGACATAACTATTATGAGTGACTATTCATGAGTGGGTTAAATTGCTAACAAAATGGAACCATTTTAATTTAGGATTCTAATATAACATTTTTTTTTAAGTTTAAATTTTATAACTAATTTGTACACGTGCAAGAAAATGTAGTCTACTAGTCTTTTCCACCAACTTGTCCACTTGCCCACTACGAATATTCAAAGAAAACCGATATTTTTCTATTCTCACTATCCACTTAAAATAGCTAAAGATAAAATATCCTACCAACAGATTCAATTAATTTCATCACCTTTTCTTTTCTATAAATAAACCCTCCGTTCCCTCTCTAATTCAATTCCCAAATCATCATTAGCATTAAAAAAAAAAAAAAATTTAAAAATAAAGATGAGTCACCCCATATCGACGGAGTTCCCGCCGGTGAAGTTCCCGGCGTATCGCCGGAGTTCCAGCTTCGTCAATCTCATGCCCTGTTTAACGGAAACGTGGGGCGACCTGCCACTCAAAGTGGACGATTCCGAAGACATGGTCATTTACGGCCTTTTGCGCGACGCCGTTAGCGTCGGATGGACGCCGTTTAACTTCACGGCGACGGAAGTCAAAGCCGAGCCGTTAGAATTGACGGAACCCGCCGCCGCGGCGCCACCTCGCGGGGCTGATGCCGCGGCGCCGCCGCCGAAGGGGAGGCACTACAGGGGCGTGAGGCAGCGGCCGTGGGGGAAATTCGCGGCGGAGATAAGGGACCCGGCGAAGAACGGCGCGAGGGTTTGGCTCGGGACGTACGAGCGGGCGGAGGAGGCGGCTATTGCTTACGACAAAGCGGCCTACCGGATGCGCGGTTCGAAGGCGCTGTTGAATTTTCCGCACAGAATCGGCTCGGGCGAACCGGACCCGGTCAGGATCACGGCAAAGAGGAGATTGCCGGAGCCGGCTTCGGAAAATGGCTCGGCTAAGCAGAGAAGAAAAGTAGCTATGGCTGAGCAAACCGAACCGGATATAGAGAGCCGGTCGAGTGGGGGTTCGGCCGAGTTACACGCTTGGATGTTGGCGGTGGGCCAGCAGCTGATGGTCAGCGGAATAGCGGTTTGACCATGATAGGAGGCGTGTTTGGATGGGATAAATATAGACACACATTTAATGCAAGTTGGGATTTGAACTAAATTCTTACACTATCATCTTTTCTTCAGGTTCCAAACAAGGATTTGTATATATCCACGGTTAAGTTATCATCTTGTATAACACACGTATTTAGGCTTGCTTTTCTTAGCTATCTTTTTGTTTTGGTTTTAAATTTTGGGATATTTATGTCACAAATTGAATGAAGGATTGAAGAAGACATTTGGAAACTGGCATATTACAAATTTTAATTGTTTAAATATCAGTGCAGCAATTCTAAAAAAAATTATACTCTGCATTTATAAAATATATCAAAATTTTTACACGAATATAAAAATGATTATTAATTTTTTATAAAAAGATTAATTTAAATAGATAAGAAAAAGATGTGAGTGACCACATCAATATAAATCAAGTGTGACCACGATGGGAGACCGACTAAATACAATGAGACAATAATGTTTGGATATGACTATATATTTTTCAATGTTAGTCACTCGATTACAATATTAAAAAAGGAAAGAATTTGGATCTCATTTTATAGTCTGCGTGATTTTTTTTCTCATCAAGTGACAGGACTTGAGTTTATTGCACCAATGCATCCTCAGGTTTGCTAAGTGTACAGTGTACACCGTGACCTCCATGATTTTAAAACTTGAATCGTTGCCACCTGTAGTTTTAATATTTCTACGTCAATGCCCTTCTAGACTAAAATATCCTTCAAATATTAAATGAATTGCACCGGTGCCCCTATGATTTTAGAAATAGGCACCAACACCTTCTCCTTTTTTTCTTTATTGCTTTTCTTTTTTCTTCTATTGTTTCATCAATATGTTTGAATTTATTTTTTAAAACTTTTCATAAATGTTCTAAAGTTCTTTTTTAAAACTATTTTTATACTACATAATGATTTAATTAATAATAAAAAATGTTTGTGTTTGAAATAAAAAAATAATTAAAATAAATATAATTAACATACACTTTATTTGTCTCAAATTAAATAGTTTTATTTTGTCCAAAAGAAATTTGTATTTGACAACTAAGAAATCCTTAAAGTTATGACCGCTACATAAACATTGAGAAATCCTTTTCATAGCCTTATCTTTTAGAGTAATGCTGAGGTAATTACTCAGATAGAAAATATTGACTCAGTTGGCATGGCCTAATACATATCTTAGCTTTCTTACTCAATACTTTATGAATTTAAAATAAATGAATATACTCCGTAGTTGGTTCTTTTGATACAAATCATTATGTAATTAGAGATGGACACGGGTTGCGTGGAACGATCTAAACTTGTGGTCATTTCAGTTCCAGTCTCGTTTTATCAAAACGAGTCTGAACGGTTAGTGATACAATTTTGTCATACTTTGTCCCTTTCAGCTTGGGACCGGAATAATTTGGAACGATTCGTGATATACTAATTCAATTTTTTATTATAAAATGTAAGCCTAAAAATTTGTAATATCCCTTTTTTTGGGGTAATGCCCTATTGTGCTTCTTTTCGGATTAGTACTATTTGTATTGGGCCTGAAAGAAATGTGGGCTCAATTGACCCAATAGTTTCCTTATTAGTTATTACCCGATAAGTTTAGAATTTTTAAATATGAATTTGGTTCTTTTGGCACCGAGCTTTAATGTAATTATATGAACACAAAGCTTTAATGTAATTAATGTAATTATGGATCGGAGTATATGATATTTATCTCTTTAATGTCTAATCACTTGTAAATTTCTTAGAACTTTCAAATAACTACTATCATATAATTGCATTTAGGGATAGGCAAGAATATTAATTTTTTAAGGTTTGTATATGCTGTTATTGCAGTTTTATTTTCGATAATTTTCTAAAAATGTTTGTACTCCGTATGAAATATTCAAATTAGTTTTTAGGGTTAATATATTACAAATTTTTAGGTTTACATTTTAGAAAAAAAATTGAATTTGGATATCACGAACTTTTCCAAATTATCCGGGTCCCAAACTGAAAGGGACAACGTATTACAAAATCGTATCACGAACCGTTCAGACTCGTTTCTACAAAACGAGGTTGGAACTGAAACGACCACAAACTCAGACCGTTCCACGCGACCCATGTCCATATCTAATTACCTCAATGCTTGGTGTCAAAAGAACCAAACCTATATTTATTTATTTATTTTTTTATTTAAATTCATAAATTATTGAGTAAGAAATCTAATTAATTAAGTTATGCATTATTAGGTCATGCCAACTGAGTCCACATTTCTTTTAGCCGTAGCCCAACAGCTAATAATAACAAAAGAAGCACAATAGGACCAAAGAGAATTTCATTCTACCTAACCAAATTTTTAAAAGAAAAAAAGAATTTATAAAGAATAAAGAAGAATAAAGAAAATACTACGTAGAATATAAAAAAAATGCTACGTGTCTTAAAAAAAGAGCAACTCTATGCATGCAACCGCTGCATGCAAAGCTCATCACCACGTGCCACCGCTTCCCCTTCCTATTTATACCCCCATCCATTCATTTATTCATCTCAAACCACTATATTATTTAGTAATTAATTAATAGTAATTAATTAAATAATCCCCATCAAAACTTACCTAAATATATAAGTAATAATTATAATGGCAATGGCGTCCGAGCGTTACGGGCAGCAGCAGCAGCAAGCTGACTACTACACTCAGCCGCAGCAGCAGTCACAGGCCTACGGCGCCGCCAAGGCGGCGACGGCGGCCACCGTCGGGGGATCGCTCCTGCTGGTATCCGGCCTGACGCTGGCGGTGACGGTGATCGGGCTGGCAGTGGTGACGCCGCTTTTCGTCATCTTCAGCCCCGTCCTGGTGCCAGCCGTGGCGGCGGCGTTCCTGGTGGCCATCGGGTTCTTGTCGTCCGGCGGGTTCGCGCTGGCGGCAGCGAGCGTGCTGTCGTGGATGTACCAGTACATGACGGGGAAGAAGCCGCCGGGCGCGGCCCAGCTGGAGTACGCCAAGGGGAGGATCGGAACCACCGCTCGCGAGGTGAAGGACAAGGCGGCGGAGAAGTTCGGGTCCCAGCAGCGGACTGCGGCGGCGTAGGTGGAGGGAGGAAATAATGGTTCATTTTGAGAATGCTGTTTGGTTTGAGAGTTAGTAGGAAAAGAGGGCTTAGATTTATTTCTGGGCCTTTTAAATGGTCTGTTGTTGGATGGGTGTTGTTAATTTGTAGCTGGTTTGGTTTGGGTCTGTATCTGGGTTCGTTTGTGTAAAATTTTAATTCCATGCTTTACTCGAAATAAAAGGTGTTATTGATAAAATGGTCTGTTGTTGAATGGGTGTTGTTAATTTTACATTAACAGTTTTCAATTTTTTTCAGTCCTTCAGAAAATTACATGAGGAAAAAATATAGTAATCTACTATATTTGACTTTAAAGGGGTATTTATGAAATAATTTTCAAAAAATTGAGGACAATTTATCCTTCACGAGATCATTTATGAAATTTATTGAAATACGGGGTGCTCTTTTAGTCCTTCCAGTCTCAAATTAAATTACTTGTTTTCATTCATTTCTTTTTCTCCATTTCCATAGTGATTCGATAAAATAGTATCACCACTAATTTTTAGATCTTTTGATATTTTAAGTATGTAATTTTTATAACTCCCACTACATAAAATGCTTGTCCACAACTCCCACTAGATAAAAACCAAAGGACAGTCATTGTCCACAACTCCCACTACATAAAATGCTTGAGTATTAGCGTCCACGTAGTGCTCGTCAAAGGAATAAATTTATGATACCATATTAATCGATCAACAAAAAGAGAATATATATTATAAAAGAAAAGAAAAATGGGTATTGGACTCAATCAAAGAAGAAAATGATAAAGGATGAAATTAGTTTGAAATATTATATATATATATATATATATATATATATATGAGAAGAGGTGTTATTATGGGAGACTGTATTCACCATCGATCCCTGATCATTCCAACTGCTTTCGGCAACAAAGAATTTCTGTTGGTCAAGAACCTTTCTCAAACTTAATACCTCAGAGATGTACCTTAATGGCCCCCCCCTTGTGGGCAGGGAGAGCTCTACATTCTTGCAGTGCAATGGCCGCTATAGAACCCTCCGATCTCCCGAAAATTGATGCACCCGGAAAGTGCCGCTGTGAGCCGTTTTATATCATCCAAACTGTGAGCTGCACTTAGAGTTATCCTCACCCTGCAAAGCAAAACAACAACCCACTATTGTTCCAACTTCATTGAAAGTAAGAAACAATGGAAGTTTAATATGGCGCGTTGATTTAGTCCATTTTTTACCCGAAGCTAAAACATTGTCAATTACGACTATTTTAGTAGGGAATGAACATTAAAAGAACATAACGGGCGGGCCTGAACGTAGAAGTAATTTGGGCTGCGTATGTCCATTGATGGGATCGTACCTGCAGGAGTTGAAGGGCACCGTCGGGGGTCTAATGGCAGTGACATGGAAGCCCAGCTCCAGAAGATGCCTGTGAAGCATTGAAACTTTGATGATCAAATCAATAAAGGTCTGTGTTTGGATAGAAGGTTGTGAAGGAAGGGCTAAATCTATATCTTGATCAGGTAGAACCTAAAATGACTGAATCTGCTAAAAAGTATGACTGCATCTGCCAAAATTATTGTCACAAGTATTTGAATATGTGTGTGTGTATTTACACACACACAGATATATATATATATATATATATATATATATATGTATATATATAAATTAAATAAATAATAAGATTCATCTAAATAGAGAAATTCTAGATCCAGAAACATCTTGATCACAAAATACACAAACTTGCCATTTGTGTATTCAATTTTTTACTTTTAGGTAGTGTTTGGAAACTAGCATTTCATTTCAATTCATGCATTTCAATTCCAGATTTGAATTCTTGAATTTCAAATGACAAAGGGAGGTATATAGATTTTAATTTGAGCTTTGTTATGAAGTAGAAGAATTTGACTCAAATCCAAACCTTTTTAAAGTTTCCCAAACATGAGATTTGAGCCAAACCAAGATTTTAAATCCAAATCCAAGTTCCCAAACATACCATTAAATTATTTAAAATTATTTTATTCACTTAGTGAGGTGCATAAATGACAAATTTGTGTATATTGTGACCAAGGTGTTTGTGAGTCTAACATTTCTCTTTAATTGAGATTTTGTTTTTTATTTATATGGGATTCTGTGCCGTGCCTATATGTTTTCTTTCAACCTGCTATTGATCCAAACAAAAAAGTCTCCCACTTCTTTCCTTCCGAAATCTTTCCAAAATATATAAAAAACGATGTGTAAGAGAGGACGAGAATAGGGAAAAAATGCAAGTGAAATGAAGAACGAACCTGCTAGTTTGCAAAGCCATAGCTTCACTTCCGACTATTATGGAAATAATGTGACTTGTGATTGGAATCCCAGTGAGACTGCGAAAGTCTTGCACCCTATCCCATATTGCCCTTCTACGCCACGTCTCCTTTCTGGCCACAAGAACAGCAGCTGCATAAAGATTTGCACCATTAAACAGAGTGTCAGAATTCTTTCTAATTACTAATTAGTACCACATTAACATTATGCTCTTTAAGAAATCCAAAGGTAGTCAAATAGGCTTAGATGTCATAATAAAAAGTATAAAAATGTAAAACCATTAGTGTTCTTGGTGTTACTTCTTGATATATGTGTGTTGTATATGTCTTTGTAAGCATATATATACATGCATAGGGATTATAAGTATTCATATGTAAATACCATAAGGGTCTGATTGGAGCTTTATAATGGTCGACAATCAAATAAATATAAAGGATTTGAAGGAAACAAAAGATTTTTGGTTGGGGGTGGGGGGGGGGGGTTAAAATATTGCTTCAAACTCAATCATTTTATTTTTGATATTTGCTCAAACTCGCTGGTGTATTTATTTCTGTTGTATAATGAGTAACAGAAAGGTTGAGAAATCTCTGAATATATGTATTTAAAAAACCATAAACATATTTGATTTTCTTTTGCATTTCCCATAGAAAAATCAAACACAAACAAATGGCTTTTGTTTCCATTATTATAATACTTGTCGAGATCCAAACAGACCTTAAGCCTGAGAAAAGTGATAACATTATATAATGACTCAGTGCCTCAGTCGGTGATTTACCATATGCAGCAGCAACAACTGGCACAGGTGCAGATGTAGAAAATATGAAGGACCTACCCCTTGATTGTATAAGTTGCTTCCATTTCTTGCTGCCGGTTTAGCATTCAAATTAAAAAAATTCAAGTAATTGTGAAGTAACTGATTTTTTTTATAACAAATGCATTAATTTAGTAGATTAGAACTGCCTGACAAAGATAGGGAAGAAAATAAACCTGCATGCGATGAACCCGCCATGGCAACCTGCAGCCTTACTCAGAGTACCTATGTATATGTCAACACCTTCTTCACAATTTAGCATCTCAGCTACACCACCTCCAGTTTCACCACATACAAAAGTTCCATGAGCCTACAAGTGAAACAAAAACTAAAAACATTGAAGTTTCTAGAGAAGTATGCAATTCACTCCACAATAATTTTCTATTTCTTGTCCCAAATTTTGTTCCTCTTTCCATTTCTGAAAAAGATTACATTGTAGAAATTGTTCTCTTACATCTTTATGGTTTTAACTTTATTCAAAGTGAACCAAGTCAAAATAGGAACATAGTTTTAGAACAGAGGAAGTATACTAATTACTACTCGTATAATTATTTATTTAATCCAGGGATAACACGGTACGTTGAATCCACACAAATGCAATATAATGCAGTTGATTACAGAAAAGATGATCAAGCAGATGCATGCTTTGACGGAATAGTGAGTGAGCGCCTTCTCTAAAATTGAGATTCACACTTTTCTCATGGTTTAGCTTAATGAAATAATTAAGTCCGGAGTATATTTTAAAGTTGAATTATACACTATGGTCAAAATGAGTGTGAAAAGTGGTCTCCAGCTTACATCATCAATTGCCAACAAGAAACCATGCTTCTTACGAAGCTTGACAAGCTCAGCCATCGGTGCAAAATCTCCATCCATACTAAATAAACTGGGAAATGGAAACACAAATATATCAACTCCCTGAATACTAATAGATACGTGTTTTCCCCTTTGTATTTTGAGGTAAGGGATTGTTACTAATGGCTAATGGGTCAAACCTATCCGTAATGACAACCTTTTTCTTCATTCTGCAACATGTTCTGTTAAAAACACACAGAGATCATCAAATGTGATGCATGTAACAAAAACAGATGACAGAAAGGAAACATGAGTTTGAAAACATAACCTACAGTAGTTCATTAAGGTGGGACATGTCACAGTGTCGGTAGACATAAACAGAAACACCTTTTTGTTTCTCAGCAAGGCGTATACCGTCAATGATGGATGCATGGTTCAGTGCATCAGAAAATATGGCCACTCTGTCATCTAATAAATGTTTTGCACCTGCTGCTAAGAGAAGACTTATACTGCCCACTGCTGTGATGAATGCCATATTGGCTGCAAAGCCTGTTGGACAAAGAAGGCAATCCTAGTAGTATGTAAAAAAATTGCAAGAGAATGCATCAGTCATAAAAATGGAAATTGATGTCATCATTCAATAATCACTTTATATAATCAACTATATATACTAAAGTACCAGTACTACAACTTATACAAGAACCCGTATGCATCTGCTAGACTCAACAGCCAGGACACCCCCCCCCCTCCCCATCATGGCATATAAATACTCACAGGCTCACAGCAAACTGCTCATCAGTAAATAGCACTCTCCAACTGGGAATCAAAGTTTAAAGGCTTAACCATTTAAGGGTGTTTTTCATCCCTACAAATATACTGTTTTTTTATAGTTTGTCCTTTTATTTGTGCTTGAGTTGAGGATCTTTTGGAAACAAACTCTCTACTTTATCCGAGTAGGTGTAAAGTATGTGTACATATACCCTCCCAAGACCCCACTTTGTGAGATTTTACTGGATTGATTGTTGCTTTTCTCCTTGTCACCCACGCTTGGATGTTGGCCTTGGTATATCAACCATGTAAATTGTAATGCACACTGGAGTAGTACATATCTCAATACATTGTCGCATCATGATATTTTCCATCCTCATGGAAATAACCAATGATGATATCACTACTTCGCTTTCTTTTTGCATGAATTTATTAGTTTAATTAATTTTAAAATATATAAATTTAACGTCATCGATCCCAACTAGTTGATATTAAGGTGTTGATTAAGATAATCCCTCCAGTTTATACTCCTTTAGTCCCTT